GCCGTGTTCCAGAACTGCTTAATTGAAGCACGCCTGCCACTGCCCAAGCAATATAATACAATCACAGCACAACAAAGAAAATTTGTGAACAACACAACAGGAATAGTGCTGCAAAACTGCACACTAAAAGCAACTCAGGAGTTGGAGAAAATGGGCAATGTTACCGCATATTTAGGTCGACCATGGGGTGATTTCTCTAGAACAGTGGTAATGCAGAGTTACATTGACAATTTTATCAATCCAAAAGGATGGATTGAATTTATAACCAAGTCGTTAGTTCAACCATACTATCTTGAGTATGAGAATAGAGGACCAGGCGCAATTATAGAGGGACGAGTGAAATGGGCGTTTGTCACTAGAAATCCAAAGATTGCATCCAATTTCACGGTCAGACACTTCATAGAAGGTGATAAATGGATTCCTGCCGATGTTCCGCATTATTTAGATCTTCAGGAATAGAGTTTGTGTAATACCCATGCAAGTTCCACTAGTTATCAGAATGCAAATATAGTTTATATGTATTGTAAATGCCAATTTTTTGCATTTTTGAATAAAAAATACTATAATGTTTTCCTTATTTGTTTGTGTATTTTTGTGTATAATTATTTGATCAAGTAATTAAATCAATTGATTAATTGACTAGATGATTAATAATTAATCTGTACTTATGTAGTTTGATAGATTAAATAGGGTTATAACTTGAATGGGTTAAATATAAGGGGATATAGTAGGGAAGAATTAGGCCAAATTTGAAAGAGAGATTGGTCAAGAATGCCAAATCAAGGCCAATAGAGAGGGCTGCCAGGGGAGAAGGCTAAAACGACATGTAAAACTACGTCGTTTTGGTTAGGTCACAGAGATCAAATCTCAGCCTTCCATTATCCTTGATCCAATGGCCCAGAACCAATTTTATTTGTCATATAAAAGGCCCGATGATCAGGTTTTTGGCCTCATTTCACTCTCCTAATTTCTAGTCCCCTCTCTCCTCGCTCCTTTTTTCCCCTTTACCGCCGCCGCGCCTCACCACGACCGCGCCGCCCCCTGCCACCGTCTAACCGGCCGCGGACTACCCTCACCTACCCCCAAAATAACACCATTTCTTCATCTCACTCCCCTCTACCTGATTCCAAGACCCAAATCCCTCAATTCTTACCGTATCTTCGCGATTTTGATAAAGTTAGAAACCCTAGCCCTTTTTTCTTTATGAAATTTGTCAAGTTTCGGTTGCCTTTACCCCCATAATACCTACGTGAGAGTGTATATCTCTACTTGATCTGTCAATTGGTACTGTTTTGAACCCAATTTCCGGTGATCAATTCCAGGTAGATTTCCCGGCGACCTTTTTTTGGCCACAAACCGACTCGAACAGGCTTTTCCTGTTGGTGATGAGACCATAACTGATCTCTAGTTCATCGAGGCCCACAGTTTCAGTCTCTCCCAACAAGAAAGGCGTGTTTTGAGGTTGGACAGCTGCTACCCCATGTCTTCGGCCTCTTCGAGTGCCCTCGATTTGTGAAATTCTAGCCCCTCGCTTCTTCGTCTTTGATTTTTAATTTGTTCTTTTAACTGACTGTAGGTTTTAGTTGAGAATGAGTTTCGTTTTGATATAATTCATGATTCGGTCTAATATCTGATTTCGCCATTGTTTAAGTTAATCGGTTTTGATTAGTTAATCAATGTCAATACGTTGTTTGCCTAATCGTTGAATTTTGTTGTCTCTGATTACTTGTATTAGCATTAGTTTAATTTTTGGAGTTTGGAATGCTAAATTTTCTGTTTTTGTACTTGTTAAAGTAGTAGGATTGTTTGGTATTGATAAAAGCTGAGGTAGTATCGGAATACTTGAGAGTAAATTTGATGTTTGGTTTCTTTTACTGTTTTGGAGCTGCTGGGAGTACATCTACTCTTTGCTTGTGTCTGAAATTGGAGAAGAGGACTGTCCTTTCTCACCCTTTGGACATATTTTTGGTTCAATTTTGGAGAAGAGGTCTTCCTTCACCTGATAGAGGACTCTAGAGTAAGAGAGCAAACTGGTTAGAATAGTTGTTGGTAACTGCCATTCTTTTACTGTTGTTTGGTATTTTCTGCAACTAGGTAATGTTCTTAACCTTCTAAAGTAATTTCTTTCACAATAGACAATGAAGATATTGTGCTTAGAGTAGTTTTGATCTTACACCGTTATAAGAAATGGAGAAATGTTGTGTTCTTTCTTGGAGTCTTTTTTTTTCATTTAGTAGTATTGAGCTGTAGTTTGTAAAAACTAAGCTAGTGTGTTGATAAACATGTTTAAAAGAAAAGATATAAACAAAAGAAGAGGCACTGGCAGTCGCCTCACATAAATTACTCAATTTTTTGTTCTTCTCCAAAGGACAAATTGTGTTACACTTTATAAGTTCTTTTTTAATTATTCAATGCTACAACAAGCTTCTTAAGGTCCTTTCTTTTTCTCTATCTTAATTTTAGTTATTCTACTTTATTTGTTTATTCGAGAATGAGGAAACAACCTCTCTATCTTTCACTAGTTTAGTGAGTTTATTTTGTTTATCCATATTCTTGAGATTTTTGGTCAATGATTCCATGATGTCGTTTACTATTTGGCTTAATGTGCTATTTAATGTAATTGTTGTTTTATAAGTATCTGGGTGTTGATTTATATTTTTATGAGCATGAAATAGAAAAAATGGCATGGTATAACAACCTATTAAGAAAATTGGCATAAAAAAGCCCTAGTTTTAGATATTGACACCCTATAGCCCAACTTTAAGTTTTTATTTGTTTTAATTGGTATATCATAGCCAATTTTATTGTTATTCAAAATCAGACGTAAAGTTAAGCACTTTCCGCTCTCTCCTCCCCTCTCTCCTTTTACGCTATTCTTCTCTATCTTCCCCAAATTCCAAAATTTTCAAATCACCCAAATCTCTCCATTTTTATCTGATTAATACTCTCTTATTGTGTCTTCTTAATCTTTTTCTTAACTTTTTTTTTTAAAATCAAGACTCTTTTGTAGAAATTCGAAGACAATATCATCATTCTTGCCAAGTTGAAAGACGGGTAAAAATTCAACTGGTAAGAAATCAAAATCTAAAGCAATTGTGGTCAAATCTTCATCTCTTCATGTTGATTATGACTCTGATTCGAAGATACGATGCTAAAGGAGTCGAAATCACCTCATGCAATAGTCGTTCGAAAGGACAATCAAAGGGAAAAACGGGTTGATGCATCGCATGCAAAAGACAAAGGAAAAAAAAATCAAAAATGCGTCTGGTATACAACAAAATATTGCCGTTAAACCCAAAAAGAGAAAGCGCGTTAGCACGGAGGAAGTTCAATGTGATAAACATCCTGTGAAGGTATTTTTAATCTCAATTGATTTAATGTATTTTATCTGATTTATCGTTTACATTAGCTATAAGCATTCATTATTTGCACTTGATGCTATGTAAAAGTGGTAAAGGAACAAATATAGACCTATATAGTAGTCTGATTGACATAAAAACTATTCCAAAAGAATAGACAGTCTGGACTATAGGCAATTTTATTCTACTTGAGTACAAAGAAGATACAAAATCTCTATGCATCAGCTGTAACATCCTTATAGACAACCAGGATTACTCACAAATAAATTCTAACTCAGTTCAGACACAGTTTCGATGACTTCCAATCCTAAGGACCCGTATTTTATCTGATTTAAACCTTTTTTTATTTAGTATTAGTATATTTTCTTTTATATTTGAATTCTTTTAACATACATCAGCTGTGAGATTTATGAAAATGTATAGAACTATTCTTCTGAAGATGTGTAGTTGAGGAGAATTTAATGATATGCATTGTCTACATATATGGCTTAGTATAATTAATATTTTTTAATGTAGAAATGGGATTTCTATGTCGCACTGGATACAAAATTATCCTGTTCTCGTTGGAGCTCACATACCAATGTTGGGGTTGTTGATGAGTTAAAGTTGAAATTGACGGATGAGCAGATTCAAATGTTTAGGAAAACTTGTTTCGGCTATTTCCTCGATTTGCCTCTTGCTGTTGTACAAAATCAAGTTATACGGTTTGTAATGTCAAGGGAGTTGGTTCAAGATAGTGAGGATGAGTTTTACGTCAAGATCAATCATAGTACCCTGTGTTTTGGGATTAGAGAATTTGCAATTATATCTGGTCTAAGGTGTGTTGGTGAAGTCAACGATGAGGGAACTTATAGTGGATCAAATAGGCTCAAGGATGCCTACTTTCCCGATCGTAATAGAGTCAAAGGACGACCTTATTGATTGTTTTAGGGCAAAGAGATGGCAGTCAGATAATGATGCTCTAAAGATTTCGTTATTGTACTTCATATATACTTTCTTATTTTCCACAATTAGTAAAAGATCCCTTGTAAGTAATCGAGATTTTTTTTTGATTGAGAGTGGGGAATACGAGCAGTTTCCATGGGGGAATGTTATATATCAAGCTTTGATTGGTTCGGTGAGAAATAAGTTTAGATTTGTAAAGAAGTTTCATAGGTTTGGCGGTTTACCACTTGCATTGCAGATTTGGATTTATGAGTGTTGTTCTGAAGTAGATCCCAATATTGCCACTCGTGTTGCAAGCCGAGTGCCACAGATACTAAATTGGAATGTAACAGAAAGGCCTAGCTTTGAGAAATTATGCAACGGCATGTTGGGAGAATCAAGGAACAAGGTAACATTGTTAAATTTATATTCGCACTTTAAAGTATTCTGTTATGTTAAAGTGATTGTTATATTTTTATATTTACACTAAAACACAATAGTACACATTTCTATGCATAATAATATTCAATTTATGATGCTTGATATACATTTTTTATGTAGAATTTATGTACTTAGCATCATAAATTATTTTTTTTTGTTTATTGTAGTTAGTGTTTACAAATATTTCTGCAACCGTGGATGAGTTAAGTGCATTATATTTGTCCAGGAATGTTGAATATGATGTACAAAAAGGTATTGTTTCTGAGGATGTTTGACAATTTAGTGTCAATGAATCTGGTTACATAACGCCGCCTTCGAAAAGGAGCAACAAGCAGCAACAACGAAATATAAATAGTAATGCCCTAAATGATCAAAGCCTTTTGGAGGAAAAATATAGGATAAGTGACTTTGAAAAGGTATGTTTGTTTTCAAATTACATTTGTTGAAATACAATGAATATTTTAGCAATAAAAAATATTATTTTTGAACTCTGTTCAGCTGAGAAGGGAATATGAGTCTTTCAAAAAGTATGTGATGGAATCATTCAAGAAAATGTTTAATGGTAATATACCCGTACACGATTTCGATCAAAGATCCGATGAGAATGTTGAGAATGATTTTGAAAAGGTAAGAATTCTTTCCATTTAATATTTTGTGAATCTTCATTTTTTTTTTTCTTATAAAAAAAGACCTTTTTATTATTTTGTTCTAATTGTGTTCAGCTTAGCAAGGATTTTTTTTCATTCAAGAAGTATGTGATGGACTCTTTTGCTAAATTATTTGATGAAAACAACAATCTTCGTAACAGATTCGCTGAGAAGAGTGATGCAAAGGTATTCTAATAAAAAAAAAACAATTTATTTAAATATTTTAAATTTCAACAATTCATATTGTTATGTATATAATTAATAAAATCATTATATTCACTAATTGTGTAACAGAGTGATGGAATGGTTGATGAGCACGGTAATGCAGACATCGGTTCTCCAAATAACAATCAAGACCAAGGTACTAATTTTGTTCATGTGAATGAGACCACCCAAATGAATATGATAAGCCAAGTCAACCAGGGAGATACCAATGTTCTTCATGGTATATTTGGAGGCATGTTTTATTCTCTTAATTATTTTGCATTTTACAATCAACACGTAAAGTTATTTTAATATCTTTTATGATTTTTTTAACTAGACAGGTTGGATAGTGTGGGTGAATGTCAAAAAGGTTTTCCTACGTTTGATGGTGGTGATTATCCGATTCTAAGGGAGTCTCAGATTGCTATACTTGAATAAACTGCTGTTTAAAAAGCTATTGAGGTGCCAAATGACCCAATGTCAAAACAATCCACAAGAGTAAGACGTATTGAAAAATATGAGAAGTCTCTTATATATGCCACTTGATTCAGGAGATTGCAGTTCTACAGCACTAGTGCCTAAGCAATATTTTAACCTTAAGCATCCTTTTAATGTTGACAATGGGGTTGAACCTGATCTTGCTTTGCGTTGGGCTTTTGGTCAATTTGTTGATGCGGGGACTTATAAGAAACCCAAGTAAGCTAATTTTTAATATCTAGCATATATTTTATTATTTTAATAATTTATTTCTTTTTTGGTATTTATGTTTTTATATTTTTTTGTAAGAGTGGGTGCGATCTACAAAAAGGAAAAAGATTGGATTCGGCCTTATGTCTTTGGAGATCATCATATTGTCAAAAAAGAATGGTTCCACACTTTGAATTATAGTGGTCGACCTTTGGATGACACGGTATGATTTTTGTACTCCTTTTACATTAGATTATATCATTGTATAAATGTATATATATGATGTTAAATCCCGATATATGTTCAGTTATACATGTTAATTTTAAACTAATATGTATAACGCCATGTATATCATAAACTTGCATGTATATCAGTATGTTCTAAGTGATCCCTCACTTAACTGTCTTACTACTGTGGATTAAAGTTACACTTGGGAGAAATAATGTATTGTTAATGCTTCAGGTTAATAGCAAGCTTACCAGGTTGGTTTTTCTATTATTGCTTTTAAGGAATTTAGAGCTCACATGAACTAAATTGATAACATATCTCCTTACATTAGATAATGCACATTATGATAGGCTGAATTGTGTATAATTGAAGATTATCTGCATGCCTCCTTATGCCAAAGTAATTGCTCCAGAGTCATTCTTTTGTGCAGTTGTATGTCCATTGTCTAGTGAAAAATTCTGATGTTTTTATCTCCTTGTGTACAATACTTATTATATCATGTTTTCGGAGGGAAGTTTTAGAATCTTGATTTTCTGCTAGTTATGCATGCCCTTATTTGGTGGTTTACTGTGTGATGCATTACTAATTATAATTTCTGCAATCTGATACCTATTTTTCCTAGTATTATTTTGTAGAGAACTCTATGTATATATTTAACTCTCTCTCTATATATATATGTAACTAATAGTCGTACTGTCATTTATAACCATATATACATAATGAAATTAACTATATAACTGCCATGTATAATTGTATATTAAAACACTCAACTATATGGATATTGTGTATATTTACATGTATATCAAACCCAAAGTTTATTAACTACATGTATACCTTGTAGTTGATGTATTTCCCATGTTCTGACATGTATATTTCTTAAATGTATATCCTGCCATTTATATCTAATAGTAAAACACATAACTATATGTTTATATTAATTTATTTCATGTATATCAAGTCAATAATTGTATATCATACAATGTTTAACTCGAAACACATCTGTCTTTGCTTACATACTTATTTTTTTTTTTATAATCTTTAATTGTTATATTTACTGAATGAAATCTTTTTTTTTCTTTGGGCAGCATATTGATGTCATCTTCTACTATCTAAGGAAAAAAATAAAGTATGATGTTAACATTTCAAAGTCCTTCACTACAATAAATTTTTTATTTCGTGTTATGGTAAAATTATTGTATGATCAATTTCTTGCGAGCAATAGGGACTACGTTGTCATCCCTAAGGATCATGAAATAGCTGAGTATATGCGAGGCTCATACATGCCTTGCAATATTTCGTGGCACACCGTCGATCATGTACCAATTCCTATAGGCTTAAAAGATGAATGGCATTGGATTTTGGGTGTGTTGACTTTTAAGGATAGGTGCATACACGTGTATGATTCCATGAGAGGAGCGCGACATGATGCTAAAATTCGCGAGGCCGTTGAACCATATGCAGTGTTGATTGCTCGTTTCTTGGCTAGTACAGGCTTTTACAGGAAGAGACATGATATTGATTTGACCAATGAACTCTACAGAGGCAAACCACTTGCTGATCCGTTAGCTATTCACATGGTTGATGATTTGCCACAACAAGAAGACGCATATGTTAAATTTCAATCTATTTTATTTCTTAGAATAATAATATATTATTAAAGGGTGTTGAATCCTTCTAACTTATCTTCCCCTTTTTTTTTTAGTGATTGTGGTGTATATGTGGCATCTTTTGCCGAGTATTATATCCATCAAAGATCAATTCCAGCTGACTTCGATGCAGAGCAACATCGCAAACGACTTGGTACATTGTTGTGGGATTATGGCAGAACCAAACAAGAGAATGAAGATGAAAGTGAGCCAGAGTTTTGTAAAAGAAGTTTTAGAAAAAATGCTCATGTAACATTGAAGAACAATTAGTCTTATTCTTTAGTTTAGTTATCTATTATTTGGGGATCTGCAAACACATTAGTATTTTTTTGTGGCTTATTATGGCACAGTATTTTTAATCTATTATTTATCTTTTGCAGGTTAAACGTATCTTTTCCTTTTTTTTTTGTGAAACTAAGAAATTACCAGTATGTAGCATGGGTATTTTGATATTTATGCAATTTTTTAAGTTTTGCTTACTGTTTATTCTATTTTTTAATATTTAGATGTGTATGTCTAAATTTTCTTTCTCATGCTCATTTCTTTATAACATGTGAGTCAACACTTGATAGTGTGTAAATTAAGTTAGACAACAGACAAATATCGTGGACATTAAGCAAGAGAGTAGACAAATATTGGTTTTAAGCACGAGTAAATGCCAAAATTAGGAATTTGAAACGAAGGTTGCAGAATAAGAATGCACAGATTGAGTAAACATTATCATAACTGGTGAATTGTTTATCTTCTTTTTCTTTCGGATATTTTGATAACTAACAGAAATGATTCGTGGCCATTTTGCAATACCCACACCCTAGCTAATACACATTAACTGTCTTTTTTTAATACTTAGTATAATTTAAAATTGAACTATTTTGTGTCATGCTATAAATAACATGTATATCGTAAACTTGGTTATGGATATCCGTAGACAAACCACACCAGTATTGTGTATATCTCTATCCCCATGTATATCAATACTTAATTGTACAACTACATGTATACATTTAATTGAGCTAACATGTATATCTTGATTTGTATATCCATAAACAAACCACACCAGTATTGTGTATATCTCTATCCCCATGTATATCAATACTTAATTGTACAACTACATGTATACATTTAATTGAGCTAACATGTATATCTTGATTTGTATATCCATAAACAAACCACACCAGTATTGTGTATCTCTATCCCAATGCATATCAATACTTAATTGTGCAACTACATGTATACATTTAATTGAGCTAACGTGTATATCCTGATATGTATAACCGTGAACTAACTACACTAGTGTTGTGTATATCTCTATCCCTATGTATATCAATACTTAATTGTACAAGTGAATGTATACATTAATTGTTCTAACAGGTATATCTTGATTTGTATATCCATAAACTAACAACACCAGTATTGTGTATATCTCTATCCCTATGTATATCAATACTTAATTGTACAAGTGAATGTATACATTAATTGTTCTAACAGGTATATCTTGATTTGTATATCCATAAACTAACAACACCAGTATTGTGTATATCTCTATCCCCATGTATATCAATACTTAATTGTACAAATATATGTATACATTTAATTGAGCTAACATGTATATCCTAATATGTATATCCGTGAACTAACAATACCAGTATTGTGTATATCTCTATCTCCATGTATATCAATACTTAATTGTACAAATACATGTATACATTTATTGTATATTTGTATGTATAACAAGAACAGAGATGTATATCCTAACTTGTATATCCATAAGTAATGTTAAATCTTTCCGTGTCAATAAAATTCAGTGTTCAGTATGACAACATAGTAAAAAAACTTCATATAAAATGATTAAAGTGTCCAAAATCATGTGCCATAATACTGTTTACATGTTTATGCAGTAATATACATGATGATATACATGTCCTACACAACTTAATGTATTGACCTCGACCAGCTAAATTATATGATACATTTTGATATACATGCGAAAATGCAACCTCTAATAAATTAAAACTTGCATATACAAGTGTAGAATTTAAATAACTTGAGTGTACTTGAAAAGGAATAATATTTCATTCATTTAATAAACTTGCTATATACATAAATAATTTATCTTTAAGGTCACTCAGTGGTTATTAGGTATATTTCTACATGTTCTCCTATTGTGGCCCTCACGTCTACATTGTCCACATGAACTATTTGGCCTCTTGGATTGTGTTTCTGAAACCTTCTTCTATCTCACCTTCTTAGGTCTTCCAGGCATCTTATTCCCGACTGGTGGCAATACAACTTGTTCTAATACCTCTACAGGCATTGTTCATCTACTTTCATCTGGAAGAGGATAAATTGGAATGTCGTATGCTTTCAACATATATTCATTCTTGTAGTACATAGAGCATTAATCTTCACCCTCCAAGTTTTTTGACCTCAAAACCGCCCACGCATGCGGACAAGGGATTTAATCTAACTGGAACCTTCTACAACTACATGTCCTTTCCCTAAGGCAAACGATGAACAACCTCCCATTGTCAATAACTGAATGTAAGTTTTCAGTTGATGGTCTCACCTATATTTTATAGAAAAGTAAGATTAGTCAAAACTTTATGTAACTAATCCAAAAGATTAACCCTATTGAGTGTTTCTGTAGATAAACATGAATTTGAAATAAGGAACATGTTATATAATATAAACATACCATCATATGTTGTGATGCATCAAGATTTTCATCCAGTATAGCATTGTATTTTACGGTAAGCTTTGTAAATTTCGCTTGTGCAGTGTTTCGATTTGTGTAGTTCAACCTGTTGATCAACATTCGAATTTCTTCCAGTAATTGTTGTATCGGAAGTTCCCTTGCTTCCCTAATTGATGAATTTAATGACTCTGCAATGTTAGAAGTCATTGTCATTGTCCTGTTGACTTTTGAATGCGCTCTACACCACTTGTGATACCCAATATCAAATAAGTAATACTTTACTCTTCCATCTATTTGTTCCATCTCTGTCATATAAACTCTTGAATGGTATATGCTCTTGTCGTAGCAAAAAATATCTCTCTTAGCTCTTCTTGGTTCCTCTTATATCTGTCCTTTATGTTATTCCATAGATGCCATATACAAACATAATGAGAAACCTGAGGATACACTATTGAAGCTGCCTTCGCTATGCTCTCATTTATGTCCGATACAATGAACATGTCATCTCTGTCACTGAACGCTTCTTTGAACCTTTCGAAGAACCACCCCCATGAGGCATCATTCTCCTTATCAACAATTGCATATGCAAGTAGTAAAATGTTGCATGTTTATAATATATTAATTATATTTATTCAAGAAAGTGCTTATTATAAATATATTCTATTTATTAAGTGTANTGGGGGAGATTAAATACATATGCATGTTTAATCGATATGCACAAATTTAAAATAAATATATAAGTATAAATGGTTATACACAGAAAATTTATACATATACGTATACTCTAATATACAAAGAGATAAATGGATATACACAAATATGTTAATGAAATACAGTAGAGTTTTTCTAGAACAAACCTCCAGCATCTTGCGAGCAAGCTGTGAGTAACATTCCTCTGTATGTTGCTTTAAGGAAGCTTCCATCAACCACAACAATCGGTTTGCAAAATTTTCATCCCTTAATTGATGCATATAAGGCGGCAAAAGTATACATGAAGTGTTCTTCATCTGATTTTCTCAAACTCACAACTGACTCGGGGTTGGAATGCATCAATATATATAAGTAGCTCAGCAACTTTGCATACGACTCACTTGGGTCTTCTCTCAA